GAGCATACACTCTCAGCGGCCGAGAGGTATTCCTCTCGGCCGTTGAGAAAATTCACATAGTTATTTCATTTTTTTATTTTTATTATTTTTTTGTTAGGGGAACAACTCCCAAACCTTTTCAAGGTTTTGGAGTTCCGACTCCCAATTTCGGGGTTTGGGAGTCGGAACTCCAATTTCTGGGAGTCGTTTAACTAAGACCCAAAATTAATTCAAAAAACATTAAAAAAAACCTGTCCAACGCAGTATTCATTACCAATCTTTTGTTTTTATGCTAAATTATTTTTACCATCATTTTTAAAATGTCTTAAAGTGTGGGAAATAAATTTGAAATGTCAAAAAAGAATGAAAATTAAGCTCTAAAAATTTAAGTAGAAAAATGGGTGTAATTTGAGTATTAAAAGTGAACCGTTAAGTTTTAAAAAAAATTGGATTGCACCATTAAATTCTACGCATATTAAAACCTAGGAAATAATTTTAAAATTTTAAAAAAACATAAAAAATAAGGTACATACATGTATGCAAACAATTAATTGAGAAATGAGTGAAAAAAAATAATTAATAATCATAATTCATTTTTATGGAAAATGGTTTTACCATTAAATTCTACGCGCTTGGAAACCTAGGAAACAATTTTAAACATTCAAAAAAACTCAAAAAATAATCAGTAAAAAATTAATTACAAAACCGTGTTTAAACGCGGAAACCACGTGCGCTGTGCTGAGCAAAACCGTGTGTAAACGCGGAAAAACCGTGTTTTTTTATTAAGGCCCTTTTTTTAATGTTTTTTGAATTGGTTTTTACAGGCTGGTTTTTAATCATTTTTTGAAATTTTATCGGCTACATTTAAAGATGTGTAAAACTGAATGGGGAAGTCCAATTTCCCTAAAAATACATGCTTCAATCCTAATACATGAGTGTACCCTGTTTCTTGCATAATTTTTACCGTATACAAATTTTATTTGAATGCAAAATGGACACAGCCAACAATTTGAAAACCTTTTAAAGTGAAGTAAATGAACTTAAAATTCCATAAAATAAGGATAATTAACTGTGTAAGAATTCATTAAAGAAACATGTCAAAGGCATTATTCAAGGTGAAGTTATCATTTCTATGTAAAGTGTTTGTTACCATAATTTTATACATGTCTGGAAGTGTGGGAAATAAATTTAAAATGTCAAAAAATATTGAGAAATAACATGTAAAGAATTAATTGAACAAAATGTCTGATTTCAGTATTAACATGAACCATTGAGTTTTAAGAAAATTAGATGTTACCATTAAATTCTACACACTTTTAAATGAATGAAACAACTTGAAAATATCAAAAAAGCATAAATAAATAAGGTACACACATGTATGCAAACAATTAAGTGAAAAAGTGAAGAATTAATTAAAAAATGTGTCACATGCAGCATTCAAGGTATAGTTTTCATTTTTGGGAAAAATGGTTGTTGCCATAATTTTTTACATGTCTCAAAGTGTAAGCAAAAATTTTAAAACATCAAAAAATAATGAAAATGGAGCTGTAGAAATTCAAGTGTTGCACTGTTGAGTTTTAAGAAATTTGGATTACACCATTAAATTCTACATGTATTAAAAACTAGGAAATCAATTTAAAATTACAAAAAAACTTGAAAAATAAGGTAAAAAAAGTAATGCATACAATTTATACAAGACAAATACAGGATTTCTGGCATCAGATTTTTTTTTTTTTTTTGATAGATATATATGCAGTTTCATTTCTGGTGTCAGCCTTACAGCCAGCCAATCTGGCCAAAAGACTGCCTAAGTCCCCCTTTTCATCCATGTTCCTACTGTAACTTATTCAGCTTATAATTTTATTACATTCTGACTTCAGAAATGAATTCCTCAGCTAATTTCAACTATTGTCACCACTGACCAGTTTTACACTACTCTTCTCCTTCATTGACTTTGTAACATTTCACCGTACCTTATGAAATACCAACCAAATTGGAATTCCATCTCTCCCAACCACATGTACATGTAATGATTATGTCATCCAACTTTGAAAATCCTCTCTGAGCTTGTTGATTCCGCTTCCAGAGGATTTTCAGACTCCAGACCAACACAGAACCACAACAACCAGAACCAGATCAAGCAAACACTTATCAAACAGAAGTACTCCACTTTTCCCACCTTTCCCACTACCCAGTGTCATTGGTGTCATTAGTAAGTAACTTCTCATAAGTTTTAGCTAGCATCTTTCTTCTTGTTCTCTTTCTCTGTCTCTCTCAACTTCTCTTCTTTCTTCATCAAACCAAAGCCCTGATCAAAGAAAAGCAAGCCATAGCTGCTATTATCTCAACTCATCCTGTTTGGTAGTACAACTGAAAACTACATAGGTTTCCCTTTAAAGAGCCTTGATCTTTGATCTAAAAAATTGTGGTTGAACTGATTCATCAGTATCAATAACCCATTTCAGTTTCTGTTGATTTGGAGGCATCAGAGTTAGCTCCGCTTATAACAGCCATCCTACTAAGGAAAGTAAGACTGTCAGCAGCCATCCAAAAAGAGGCAGTAAGACTTCCAGAACTTTAATCATCTTCTTAAAATAAATAAAGAACATAAATATCATTTATTTCTTTCACTCTTCTTCTCCCTTTCTCTTACTTTTATTTGTATCCCTCTTCTCATAAGAAATACATATAAAAGTGCCCCCCACATCTTGTGTCCTGCTGTCACTATAGAGACCCAGGCTCACATCTGGGCTAGGATTCAACTAAGACTATGGATCCTTGAGGATCTTTTTGGCAAAAAGGAAAAAAAGAACATTTTTACTTCTGCATGCTCTGGGGGATTTTCTTCCCTTTGAAAGACCTCCTCTTCTTTTGCCTGTGTGATGATAGCCTGTGCAGTCTCAAAAGTTTTGTACGGTTCAAATCCTCGGACTATCCATTGATGAGACCTTACACAACGTTCAATTGTCCTTGCTTCAAGACTTCCTCAATTGCAACCACAAGTGTCAGCTGCAGCCAAAACACACCTTTCAACACTTGCAATCCATAAATCTCAATCATAAATCATTCACATCAATCATCAATCATTAACATCAACCATTACCATCAATCATAAATCATAAACACATTAACATTAAGTACATCAACATTCATCCATTAATTTTTGTTATGGTCAAAATGTTCCCCAATTTTCAAAATTTCAAAATTTCCAAAGTTTTAAATATATACAGCTGTTGTGGAAAAGCTTGCGCTTTTCCACACTTTTATTTTTTTCCCCGGCCCAACAGCACAGGTCACCCCCAATCAAGCCAGTTTGACCGGCGGCTTCTACAACCCTCCCGGACACCTCCCTTCCTGAGGACCCACAACACCAACTCAGTCCACTCACTTGTCCAATTAACTGTGAGTGATCAAGTTTCATTCATTTTCTTCAATTAAAAAACACATTTATAACTGACCTGACTTCATTTTCATAGAGCCTTAACATGCCTTTTGTCGATTATCCAGCCGAGTTCAAATACAAGTTTGTCAGAGCTGCCATTGATGGCATGACTTTATCCGAAATCAACACCGCTATGGCCTCAACTGTCAGCAAAGACTCCCTTCGCCGATGGACAAATTTGTATGAGACAACTCGCGCGGTTGTATGTGATCCTGTGACGTATCAAACAAGAGGCCGGCCATTTGAGTTGGATGACAAAGAGCTAGAATTCATCAAAGAGATGATCACAGACAAACCAACGGTATATCTGGATGAAATCCAGAGGGCTTTACTTAACGAGAAGGGAACATTGATCTCACTAAAAACAATTTCAACAACTCTCCATCAGCGTTTGAAAATGTCTAAAAAAACTATCCGGACTGTGAATCCTCCCCAAGATTCCAAAGAGCGAGCTCATTATATCTCCCGAATTGGTTGCATACCAGCATCCTGCCTTGTTTTTACAGGTGAGCTTCAACTTTTTTCTCTGTTCAGTTTTGGCAAACTCATTCTGCATCACATTTCCAGATGAATCAGGTGTCTCACTTGAGGTAGCTGTGCAAACAAGAGGCTGGGCTGCAGTCGGTGAAAGGACACCCCAAGTCCCACGCGAGAGGAGCACTCATCAGTTTAACATCATCCCCGCAATCTCCTCAACTGGCTTGGTCGCGCACATGGTGCAGGAAGAATCAGTCGAGCGGCGAGATTTTGAATTCTTTCTGGAACACATACTGGTTAGTCAGATTGAACAACTGTTCAAGTTCTTTGTGAATTTTTGACACATTTCTGTTGTGCAGGTCCCATCGATGAACCCTTTTCCAGGGCCAAGCAGTGTGCTTGTCATGGATAATGCACAAATTCATCACAACAGGCGTATTGCAGAGATCGTTGAATCACGAGGATGCCTCTTGCAATATTTGCCTGCTTATTTGCCGGATTTGAACCCCATTGAAAAGGGCTTCTCAGTATTCAAATCCACTTTAAAACAAAACAATGATCTACTAACAGGTGGTGAAGAGGACTATGAGGTCATTGAAGGCTTTGTGCAATTAGTTTTTACAGCTGACTTGACCTGTAAATTATTTTTTGGGTCAGGCTATCTTGTCAATTAGTTTTTAATTCATTACTGAAGTCTCATAGAAGCAAACAAAAAAAGTGTTTGCAATGCTGCTTTCATTTTTGGTTTTGGACCTTTTGTGTTCCAGTAAATTATTTGAGCAATGTGAATCATGGCAAAGACAACTTTGTACACAATTCATTCACATTCATTTCAGTTTTGGAGGAAATCAATTATATCAATTGTTTAATGAAGGAAGCCAGTTCTTGATGTTGGAAGTGATCAAGACTTTTTTTGTACCATACTAGACAAAACAACTATTTTCAAGTAAGACTGTTTTATGAGAAGCAGAGCATAACTAAACATTTAGCAATTGAATGACTATTCTAACTAATCTTTTAGCAATCAACTAACTTTGTTTAGTTTGTGTTAAGGATACTACTCAGTGAGATATAGAAGAAGATTTTGGGGGTTCACCAAATTTTAAAGGATGAAACAAGTACAAAGCAACCAGTTGAGATCAATACTTCTTCTGTTGATGTCTTTTTTAAGACCCTGCTTGAACTTTTGGACTCTGGATACAAGGGACCTGGCATTACTCTTCTTGACTCCAAGTGCTTCCAGCTCACCTGCCTCAAAGTGCTCAAATTCAGAGTAGTCAGTAATTCCATACTCAGAAAGAACCTTGTTGACCACCTCACATTCCGGATCAACATGGCAAAAATGAAAATAGTTGTTGATGTCAGCACTGATTTCTGAACACGCCAGGGAGGAAACCAATTTGGTTTGACTTTGGAGAGTGTTTGGAGCCATTGCTGTTGGCATCACCGGGTGAGACTGATAGATATTTGGCTGAGGGCCCCATACCCACGGTTGGGTTGCCCACCCCATCTGGGGGTGATAAAAGGGACCCATTGCAAATTGTGACGTTTGTGAAGGGTAGAAGTTGGTGGTTGTTGATAAATGGTTGTGGTTGGTTGTTGGAAAGGGATTGATCTTGGTTGATTGGGATCTGAACTGTTGATTGGTGCCTTGCGATCCAGGTGGTTGAGCCGAATCTGAAACAGTGTGGTTCAAGTGGTCTGGTGCATCTTCTTGGTTGCGGCAAGAGATCCCTAGGAACTCCTCCTTTGTCTGAAATTTGAATGGAAGAGATATTGGTGGTTTGTGCAACATAACTTCTTTGTTGTTTATCTGACCTCAACCTTCATATCAGTTTTCCAAACTCAGATCTATAGAAGAAGAGACAAGCTCACCATGCTTCGGGCCCAAAGGACAAGACAATCCGTTGTGAGAGCAATGAACCGATTAGAATCCAATGGGCAGATCATAACGGGAAGCTCGCTTGAACCAGTCAATTGTTCACAAGGCATGTGAGTTGCTCGTAGCATCCAGATGTTGTTCATTATCTCTCGTGAGTTTGACGCCCCAGCTGTTGGCTCGTGATCGTTCAATTCAGTCCTTTCCTCATTCCCACCATCCTGTTTCTCTAAATTTTCCAATGCCTGCTTTTTCTATAACAGAAAGCAATTTATTACATTTGGGTCAGTTTCTAATGCAAGGGAATCAGTTTCTAATGCAAGGAAGGTTAAAGTAGATACCTGAGCAACAACTTTTGGGTCCCGTTGCAACAAGTTCACTGTGTTCTTTCGACTGTCCCGAGTCCCCTTCGCTTGAGCCAGAAATTCCTCAAAGATATCATCATCTTCCAAGGTTGTCTTATTCTTCTCAACAAACATGGGACCATGTGGTATTATTGCATACCACAAGATGTCACCTTCTTCCTCTTGCAATCATACATGTCCCCCCAGACGCTTTCCTTCCTTTTCCGCAATCGTGTTGATTACAGCTGATTTGAAATCGCTGAGGCAGGTGTTGGAAGATTCCCAATAGATATGGACTTTACCAATGTCTGACGTAATTTTGATGTATTTATCCTCAGGTTCAATGGGTGGTGCCTTTCGTTTGTTTGATACACGGTGTAGGACTCCTGGGACGGATAGACACGGTAAAGTATATGTATATCAAAAGATCCCTTGAGGGGGAAATAAATTGCAAATAGGTTGAAAGGCTATTACAACTTACGGGTGGTTTGAAAGACCTGCCCCTCTAATTGTACTAAACAAATAACTAAGAGTCTTGTAATCAATATTTAATAATATGCGGCTGATTCCAAGATAGATCTTACTTTTGTAAAGTAATCTCTATCAGACCTAGATCACGTATCAATCTACTAATGAATCTGTTACAACTTCAGGTTAATAATGGAAACTGTGGCGCTTACGGCTGAGCACAAGACAGTTGAATTTGTTATTTAGAGTTTGTTAATGATCTCTTCCTCAAACAATTTCTTGCTAAGGCACTTTAATCACAACTAGAGCTCCGGTGTTACTACTACTACTACTTGTTATATGTTATTTGTTAATAATACTACTTAAGTTCACTTTGTTATGGTTCAATGGTTCTGGTTCTACTACTTATAAATCTCTGACTTTACTTGACTAATTCTCTGACAATCACACTACTAACTAACTAATTGTGACCAACGTACCTCAGCAGGTTGATGGGGGAAAAGAGAATCCTGGTGGAGAGAGGCCCTCCTTTTATATTGAAGAGTGAGGGATTTCTGCTGCAGGGGACTCCTTGTGAGTTATTTTTGCTGCAGGTGACACACACTTGCACAGCATGATGTCATTGGTTGCTATGAAACCAAGCCATGTAGCCTGTGCTGAAACATTCCAAAGCAGTAATCCCGTACAGTATACAGTCTTATGAGATCTGTTACTCAGAAACCAAATCCACATTCCAAATGTTCTGTGTTTCATCTGAACAGATGAAGCAATGGATGAAACACTCACTTACTCCCTTCCTTGTTCCTTTTTCCACTGATTACACAATAAATAAACCCATATTACATAACCTACCCATGCACACACCACATCTACATATGTATTCCTTACCCTGTTGTTGTATGTCCTACGTAATAAATGTTCCTCCTCTTGTAATGAGGGATAAGTGTGTGTAACTATCACCTATTCTGTATGCTTTTGGCATTGGAACAGGCACAGCACACCACATCCCCCCCCAACTTAATGCTGTCCGCAGCATTCCTGTGGAAATGCCAAAAGAACACTACTCCTCGTAATTTTTAACCAAGATTTCCAAGAATAACGTCCATTGTTGTTGGGATCCAATCCGCGCCAAGTCCAATTCTATCCGTAAATAAGTCCATGGCCGTCCAATATTGTATCATCCATCCGTAGTCCATTCCATAAGATAACCGCTACAACCTAATCCAAGACGCCCATGAGTTATTTCAAACTATTTCATCTCATCCGCTGTGAGAAGAGGTAGATGGCCAAACATCCAGCAAGGATTAATTACACACTCAACCTTTTCACTCTTTCTCTTCATATCACTCAACCCTTTTCAATCCAATTTTTAAATCTTGCTAGTCTTATGAATCTTCTTATGTCTTGATGCCAAAATATTCCACGTTAATGTCCCATTCCACGTTGTCCATGTTGCTGGTTTGTTTCTTCTCCGTCCCAAGTCTGTCTGTCCTCCTTTTTGATCCTGTTAAATTTCCAATTTGCTGTGTTATTCCGTCCATTTCATCCAGTGCTCTTGACGCCGTGCTATTTTCTTATTTATTTACTAATAAATGATTGACTTGACCCACCCTTTTTCCCTCAGCTAAACAAAAGATCCTGTTTGCCTACCAAATGCTTTCCAATGTTTAATTATATATATATATATTTATGTATGTTTTAATCCTCTGGTTCCTCTTCCCCGTCTTCTTCTTCCTCTTCTTCCTCTTCTTGTGCTTCGTCTCCTTCTTCTTCTTCATCTTCCTCATCTTCTTCTTCTTCACCTTCTTCTTGTTCTATTTCCCCCCTTGGGAAAAACTTCTTGATATGATTAGCTGCAAAGCTTCGTGCAAGCACTGTGCCATCTAATTCTGCCACTATATATGGCCCATTCTTTACCTGCTCCACGATCCTGTAGGGTCCGTTCCATTTATGCTTAAAAAGATTTCCCCACTGAGTTTCTAACGCCTTATTATACACCAGTACTAACTCACCTGGCATAAGAGGTTTCCGCAACCGGTGTGCCAACCGTTTATCCCAATATCGAACAGATTGATTCCGGGAGGTTCTGATTTTCTTGATTGCCTCATCCATCATTTCTTTCTTTGCTGACAACTGCTCAGCTCGTGCTTGTAGTAATTCTGCCGTAGTTCTGATATTTGACCAATCCACCGTAAGAAAACTCCCCAACTCATGATCCACAGGCAGAACTGCTATTTGTCCAAACTGTAATTCATAGGGTGAGTAACTGGTAGTTCTTTTTGTTGATATTCGATCCGCAAATGTTACCAAGGGTAGGGGGGTTGATAACCGCAAGCCAACCCCCCTCGCGCACGCCAATCCGCACGCCAGGCGCAGATTGGCGTGCGCGCCTGCACGCCATCCCGGGAATGGCGTGCGGGGCCGCACGCCAATGACCTGCAGGGATATACCCTGCAGGTTGGCGTGCAGGCCTGCACGCCAAAGGCGTTTGGCGTGCAAGGCCGCACGCCAAATCTGCAGGGGCCTAAACGCATATACATATGCGTTTAGGCCCCAGGCCAACCCATGCGACCAAACCCTGGGTCGTATGGGTCGGCCTGGGACCTAAACGC